CGAAACACGAGTACGACCACAGTAAACGGACACTCACAGGACAGGATTGTGAGACCGGCTGAAAGAACCACTTCTGGAAGTAGCATGAATAACCTATGCAGCGACGGGCTTGGGAAAGATCAGACTCTGACAATGGGATAGCGCGGTGGCCGGCAGAACATCTGCGTGCACTGTCCATTTCGGATGAATAGTTGCTCCTGATTGACCCCAGCGAGTTTGATTAGGTACTACTTTTGCCTTTGCCTGATTAGCGATTGGTCTGATCACCATCTAGTCATCCGAAATAGGATGGGCGCATAGTTGGTGGCAGCAGGCGAAAGGACACCATGCGACGTCGCACATATTTAGTCTTGCGGCTTGCGTAATGGTTGATTCGAGCTGCAGTTCCTTCACACTTCCTCCTCATCCAGGCGCGTGCTGTCTGTCGCTTTTGCCGGTTCCTACGTCTTGAATCCGCCGCCACGCATGCGGCATCTCCCAGTATGCGCGACGCCGCGTGGTGACCTGTCCCTTCAGATTTTTTTGGCCCAGTGTATCCTCAAGCATATCCGTCTTCCTAAGTGCATGTAAACGTTTACCTATATTGCAATTGTTCATCTGCCAAAGCTGTATATAAAACCTGAAGATAGCACCTTGTTAAGCTACAGGACCATGCCACAACCGCTAGGGGCCGTATGCTGTCTTCTCCTGATCGGGGAGGTTTTACCAAAAGACTATTTCATGGAGATACCCTGGCTGGATTTGATTATTTTTTGTTGCGCCTTTAACTTTTTTGATTTTCTTCTCCCCCCCCCCCCCCTCCCGAGCTTATGAATATAAGGATCATTTTTGATTGGATGCGCGTATTCGAGATTCTATTCGGAAGAGATACCAGGTGGCTCCAGTGGTCTGTAGCTCTTCCAGCAACAAGCTTACGCTAAAGATCCCCCTTCTTCCTTCCTTAGCTTCCACTCAGGTAAAATTTTGAAGCCACCGTTGAATACGGGAAAATGCTCATCTTTCTCGAAAGTGATAATATTTATGATAATATTCCGTTAACTTGTTAGTAATTGCTGCTTTAGTGTGCGTTAAGGCGTTGTTCGTTCACTTGATATGCGATTCTTTGTTCATGCTTTATAAATGAAAGGTGAATGTCCAAATCATCTAGTCATGTCGATCGTTTTGTCAATCACTGCGACCGTAATTCATATTGTTCGACATCGAACTCTTCGTTTAGCTCATGTCTTTAACTATTTGTACCTTAAAATGTCTCCGTGGGACGCGCGCGTCCAGGACTTGGACATGTTATGATGACCGTGACGCGACCGCGCGCGTCCGATACCAACTTTCAGAGACATGGTTGTCATATTACACGAACATTTCGAAGTATGGGTAGTGAACTGTAGGGTTTGTATTCATTATTCACAGAGTTTTCTTTTCATTGTTATATTTCTCTCGTTCGGCTTTATGCTCAGAATTGAATTGCAGGATGTGGGTAATTGATTACCATTGATAAGTTTCTTTTTTCATTGAATTAGTAGCTATAGTGATCCCGCGCTTCCCATGTATTCACTGTTGCCTGTGATATGAACATTGACGCCATAAAGTGTTTATTCTGACGGATTCTTTATTTTTGAAAAGGAAATGGTTGAGGTCCATTTATTATTCAGAAATGATTAATTTTGATTCTCAAGCATTGTGCAGCCGGTCAGGGCCGACTCACTGCTGGTCATCAGTGGCAACGGCAGTTGCCAGCATTTAATCTCCATTAATTGTAATGTGAAGTCACTGACCCTCTCTTTATTTAAGATTTCGTTAAAAATGGTGTAATTTCAAGATCTCGTAAAAGGACCCACACTCGTATGTCCTTTGTGCCGAAGAAGCGGTATGGATTTCGCGTATTGGTCGGCTCGTGCATTTTTACAACAGTCACGATAGGTTTGTTGCGAACTGGTTTTACTTCATTTCACAGTACTAGTACTGTGCCCTCTATTACCTTCACATAGCCAAGTAGGAATAGAGTAGGTTGTGTCGCGAGCGGTCTCGTTGCGGCTGCTATTTCAGTGAAATCATTCGTTGTGATGCTGCTCCACGCTAGTGGCGGTATGTTCACTTCAATTAACAGCGAGCTGGAGTTATAGGGTTAGGAAGATTTTGGGGATCAGTCATGTAGTTCGTGAGTTCTTCGCGACGTGCACCACTTCTGCTGGTTCTTCGCTAGATATCCGGATATCCGTGGTTTAAAACAGTGTCATGATGCACATCACTTCTTAATTACCACGAGAATGTGCTCATCGCTGTACAGGGGTGTGTATCGTTAGGTCGACAACCCGACGCGCGGTGGTTCATACGCGACAAGAGTGCCTTTTTCACTTTCAAATGTGATAATTATGGACGATAACAAAAAGGGATAAAGCATTTGCCATCAATCCCTTTTTGGGATGCGGCACGCATTCTACTTCCATTTGTACATTCGTAGTGGCGTTTGAATGCGATGTGGCCTATACAATGACTTGCGGGGGCCAGCCGATGTACAAGTCAGTGTTTTTATCCTCCCAGACAAGTCTGGTACCAATTAACCGACCCCGGAGGGATGGAAGGCTTGGTTGGCCCGGGCGACTCACGACCCAGGATTTGATCCCCGGACCGCTCGCGTGGTAAGCGTGCCACTTGCCACTACACCACTTCCGCCCTAATTATGGACGATACATTATGCCCTGCACTGTAAGCCGCATACATGGACTCCATAAACTGCTTCGATCAAGGGTGAGCATGGCGTCGGAATATTTGGCAGCTACACTACTCCTTCTCCCCTCCCTACCCTGGTATGTATGGGTTTGGCGACCGTATAAGCGCAATTGAAACAAAATTTGCTTCTGGTGTCCCCGCAGTTTTCCCGAAATTTCTGGGAAATATCCAAAAAGTTCTGAAAATACTGTAAAGAGCATTGCCGAGTGCACTAAATGCGCTCCTCACTTCCGCGTGACTGGCTGTGGATTCCCTTGCTTGGAGCTTCAACTTCAACAGGATCCAGATGAGCTTTAGAGTTCATAGAGTACATTTCAGCGCTTGTCTTGTGGGATGAGAGGCGTCAGCGTGAACGACGTCAAGAAGGGGTCAAATATCGTTTGAAGTCAATCCAACACCAGCAGAACATGCAAGAATACCAGGAGCAAAAGCAGCGATATGAGGAGTATAAGAAAGCTCACTCACTCACATAACTAGTTGATTTTTTCGCTGTTTTAGAGATTAGGCTATTTTGTTGTACGCTGTATTTGTTGTGCATTTTTTTATTAGAACTACCTCGAAAATGATATAATAGCGTTTCTTATTGATCAATAAAGTTCTTAAAAAGCGGCTTCCCTGTTTAGTTGGGTACTGTCCCGGTATTGTGATACGCTCATTGTTGACAAATATTGCATTTCAAAGGTGCATTACAGCCCAAAAATGCGGCTTATGATGGGACTAGTTGGCACACAAGGTTCGCTACGGCTGGCTGCCTCAAAATCGCCTGTAGATGTCTTGAGGTATCATATAATTTCGAAAATTTCTATTTCATTCT